CTTGTTTGTAATAATCAATGTAGTTGGGTAACATATTCTGATACATTGCATCATGATTTTCATGTCATAGATGGGAATGGCATGTAAAATATGTTTTTGAGACATTCAATCATGTGTTGTCTCATGTGTGACTGATCGAATATATTGTTAGCAGGATCATTTCCATAAAGAATAGATACTGCGTATGCTACTGCAAAGCAGGCACATTCCTTATCACCTTTTGCTTCACCAACCACGGTACTTTTACCATAGCAGATCCATAGAGGGCAATGAGCTGCTTCTTTAACTCTGAGTGAATGATCTCTGTGTAGAAGGAGTCATAAAGAAAAGCAATGCCATCCATAAAATGACTAGTAACCCAATGGTTCCCAAAGTTGTGGAAAAATAATGAATCATTTGTAGCCAGCTGAATGAGACTTAGTTTCTGAGTATACAAAGACGACTGAATCATTGGCATGTCTGGGAATTGTTTTGACAGTAGTTTAGCAGTAGCTATGACATGCTTGTCTGAAAGGTGATGGGTTCCTTCTAGCTGTAAACAATCATTTTCCTGAAGATTTAATTCCTTTATCCAGTAGTTTACAGGACTAGCTGGTATCTCGTCAATGATGATGAGCAAAAGCATACCTGTATATGGGTATAACATAAAATTGATGGCACACGGTAATAAAAATGATATACATGTACCTACAAACATCTTGAAATTTTGATAACTGCAGTTTTTTCTCATCATATGACTTACACAATGTATCTTTACCCCAAAATAAAGCATGCTAGAGGTTATCTTCACAAAAAAAAGGCCTGTACCAAAATGATGTTGCATCACGTAAATTTCATAGCATTCAATACCCTTTGCCTTTCTGCCATGTCTTCCAGCCCTTCCAAACTGTTGGACTAATTCGTCAAATGTGCTGTATGTGAGCAACCAAGTTTAACCACCAAGTCTATATTAGGAACATCTATACCCATTCCAGGTGCAGAAGTGCACACCATTAGCTATAAATATACATAAATTTGTTATCATACACAGAATTAATGCTTGATACACTTGCTTGTGTGTCAGAGTCATCAAAACACTGATCCTCAATTATCTACAATTTGTCATGGCTAGATAAATTTTTGCCATGATAGCTACTACTATTTATTCCTTTTCCTTTTAAAGCAATTGCCAATCTTTAACAAAGTTAGTATATACACAATGGAGCGATTGTTACCAACTACTTCAGCAAGATAGTCAGCAATAGATGTGT